AGAATCGCTGGTCACAGCAGGAGGAACCCTCATCGACTCGATCAGAAAGTCTCTGAAGCGAAAAGGATAGCGTCTGCTGCGCCAGGTGAGCTTATATACTCAGTTGATTGCTTATGCCGCTCACCTGCGCAGGCTTGCGCTGCCAATTCATTCTTAATTGGCCCGTTCAATACTCTTTCAGACGAGTAGCTTCTGAACCGAACCTCCCAATGCGTGGATTTTACAATCAAATCCACTTATAGTGCTGAAGTTCCCCCCGAAGGGGAACCCGCACGCACATACATTCTGACATCTGAACTTCACAACGAGGACATATTTCCCAAAGTGCCCAGCTCTCCCATAAACCATTTCTCTTCCACTTTCACCAGCACTCACACACACTACACGCGCTCTGTGCTGGAGTATAAACCTGTCAAACTGAAGAAAGATCCACAGGGAGCAGGAGACACTGTGAAAATGACAGACGCTGTCATCACACACACACACAAACACACACACACAGGCTGTAACAATGGGTCTGTGAGAGCAATATATGGGAAAATGAAATGTCTTAGCAGAAGCTAACATATTAAAATCTATTTTTTAAAAAGTGTGATATTAAGATATTAGGCCTTTTAAATATTATCACAAGGATATTAAACCTCAACCTTGATATACAAATGAAGGTTTAAGACGTAAGGTGGTGCTTTATTAAAAAGCGTGCGGAGTGTATTGTGGCACATTATAATTTAGCATTTCATTTGAGAAAGCAAAACGTTCTGCAACACAAACACACACACACATACACACGGTATTCTATTCGCAAAGCAGGCTAAATTATTTTTGTCACTTGCGCAAAAGAATTCCAGGTCAAGTTCCTTTCATCAGAAATAGCTCATGTTTCTATGGAATTATCCAAGCTGGCGTTGTTTTTACAATGGGAAAAGCAGATATAATGCGGCGATATCTGTAATCTGTGCTGAAGCGATATGTAATTAACTTCTCTCACTGAAGTGCACTCATCCGTAGGGATGGACAGAGGGGTGTTTTGTCGTTTGTCTTTAGGTTGCTGCAGGCTAATTTGGCCATTGGGTTGAATCATTCTGCCCCAGTTACAGTAGAACGGCACGCGTGTGTCTCTCTCTGTGTGCGTAATAGAGAGAGAGAGAAAAAGAGAGGGAGTGTGTGTTAAAGGCGGAATGAGTATATTCATTTTGACACCACTAAAGTAATGACCCTTTTACGAGAGAGAGAAAGAGGAGAGACAGAGATGAGAGACGACTGGGATAAGAGGTAAAAAGGAAGAGTTATATTTACTTCCTCACAAAACTGCTTATGAAATCTTCTGACAGAGTGTGTCAAGAGGTCAGTGGAGTGCGTTTGTGTGTGTGTGTGTGTGTGTGTGTGTGTGTGTGTGTACTTGGGGGCTTGCACTGCAGAGACAGATAAGAGATTTTTTAAAAATTCTTCCTACATTCTGTTTCCTCTCTCACACACACACACACATACACAGAGCAGAAATATTCTCCACAGACTTGGTAAATGGAGCAGAACTGAAGTGCTTTGAAGCTGAGGAGCTAATCCAGCGTAAAGAAACACACACATACACACTCACACACACTGCATTACATATTAGATGACCACTGAGAATCCATATTTGCTTGATGTCAGCACCGGGAGGTTTCAGACAGTTGTCATGGAATCCTGTAATTCTCTCTGTCTAAATCAGCAGGATGAATCGATAGACTCGTTTCTGCACAGCAGAGTATTTGGAAAAACACTCTGTAATTTGTTTATTCAACTTGCTCTGGCCAGTATAGTAGCCGTCTTGGACAGATACTATTAAGGGCTTTACCGACTTAAAATATTTAACCCTGGCTCATTGTAAATCCTGGGTAAATCAAATATTGGAATTCCTGTTTTAAACTGCTTATAGTTTAATAATTTAGTTTATAATTTACCCAACCCAAGGTTATCCAACTTATTACCATATTACATTAAAATGTGTGTAGACAAACCTTATTATTTATTTAGTTACAATAGACCAATGACAAACCTCCAGCAGTATTTTCTTGTGTGTTATTAAAATTATTTTTATTAAAGTGTGCATTCTGGCTGTAGAGTGATGTATAGATATTAATCATATCACATACAGTACCTTAGATGTATATCATACATGGTTCGTTACACAGCTGTGTATAGTGTATGATATGTGTTCCCTCTGGGCCCTTCACATTGTATATGCTCTGGCAATAGCCCTGGCATTACCATTGCAAGTCCTCATACTGTCCTGTATACCAGGGGTTCCCAAACTTTTCAGCTCGCGACCCATAAAACAACCATGGCAGTGACTTACGACCTCCAATATTCTCTAAGGGGGTTGTAAATATACAAATGTGCACACACCAATAGGCCTCAGTAGATTAGAATATAGATACAATATTGTAATTATAATACTTTAATAAAAGGAATTCTATTCTGGATGATTGTCCCGCGGCCCTGACTTTGAGAACCACTGCTGTACTTTTTTTTAATCTACAGTTGGTATTTATGTAACTGGTGTTTATGTAAACACTATAAAAGATTTAATATATTTACAGTTGGAAACTTACTAAATACCTTCATGGAAATGATTTTTGGCATAAAATAAATAATTTCAACCCATAAACACACACACACACACACACACACACACACGCACGCACACACACACACTAACACACATACATTATTTTATAAAATGAAATTATTATTCCAGTCATTGCTTAGTATAAATAATAATATTAATAATAATAATAATAATAATAATAATAATAATAATAATAATTAAGATTAAAGTGATTTCTGAAAGATCATGTGACTCTGAAAACTGGAGTAATGTAGCTGAAAATTCATCTTTAAAAATCACTGGAATAAATCATTAAATTAAATTTTAAAAAACTTTTGAAAAGTTATTTTATAGTGCAACGTTTCACAACGTTTTCACAATTGTACAATTTGTACTGTATTTTTGATGAAATAAATGCTATCTGGGTGAGCAGGATAACCTTGTTTTAAAAAATGCTAGACTCTCAGAAAAAAGGTACACCATGGTGCAAATAATGCTCCTTAAGCGAAAGTTTTGTACCTTTGTAAAAGTTGTACCTTATATGGTACAAAAAAAAACCTACTGTTCTGTACCTTTAATGGTCAAATTGAAATGAAGGTACATAATTGTTCTCATAAAGGTAACACTCGTAAAGTGTTGGACAACTACTTCTTTATTACAATATCTATGTGTAAGCCATATCAATATCAATTTCTAAGTGATTTTATGAATAATTTTCATATTAAAACATGAATCATCATTTAAAAGCATATGTTTGAAGAAACTCATGAGCATTAATTATTAAGTTCTATAATGCAAAACAACAGGTAAAACAAACTATAGGTATTGTAAACTAACCATTTAAAGCATTTTAAGTAAACATTTTGTAAGCATTTTCAGATAAATACATTTTTATAAATATCTGCAGCTTATGGCGTTTGCAAATATGGCAAATATGGCGTTCATGCTGACATTTTAGTATTGTAAAAGTAATCAAACATTGTGCATATCTTGTTACAATACTTTTGCATAATTCTATTTATATTTTAGGATTAAGCAAATTAAATGAACTTTTAAGTGAATACAAAGGTATTGTGTGAACATTGGAGAAAAGTGTTGTGAAAATTGTTGTGAAATGTTTAGCAAAAAATAGATCTTTTGATTGATGTTAAAGTATTTTTTATTCTTTATTTTAAATGGAAAAGGTGCATTTACACAAAAAAACACTATTTTAAAAACATTGTTTAAAAATGTATTTGATGTTTTATATTTACTGAAAACAAATTGACGCATTTTGGATAAAGCAAAATGCCTTTAAATAGTTCATGAGGGAACACATTTGACACTGGTAAGGTACAAAATGTCTTGTCACAGTGGTGCCTTCATTAATCAGATTTGTACATTTGATGAAGGTACAATTTTGTATCTGCAGGTTTTAAAAACCAAAAGGTACATTTTGGTTTTTCATGGTACAAATCATGTCCTTAAAGGTACAAACTGCAATGGTATTGACACTGCATTTCAATAAAATGGTTGCAGAAATTATTTATTCTGCAAGAATGATTCTAGGCTGAAGTATTCATTTGGTAAAATCTTATTATGTCACCTGCAGGTGATCTTCTCAATATAAAATACATCAGACTTTATTACGCTGCTAATATGACTGCTGCCTCTCTCATATGTCAGGGATTTCAAAGCTAATTTTCGAAATGACTATTCACGTTTTAAGGGTAAAGCATTTTTAATGAGAAAAGAATTATTAAGTGCACCACCACACCAGAAAACAGAGCAACATTTAGACCTCAATTATTTCATGCAATACGAATCAGAATAAATCTGTCATGTATTGGGCAGGGTTGACAGAGCGGTCTGGCTCAGTTTGAGATATGCATCAGTCATTTTCTACCTCCAAATCAGTTCTTCTCATGCTTTTCCTTTCTATCTGTCTGCTGAGCTCTTCTTGGGCTTATCTACATTATTCTGTGCTTTTTTTTTTCCACACTGTCTGTGTGTGTGTGTGTGTGTGTGTGTGTGTGTGTGTGTGTGTGTGTGTGTGTGTGTGTGTGTGTGTGTGTGTGTGTGTGTGTGCGTGTGTGTGTGTGTGTGTGTTTATCAGTCGCCTGATGTGACACTGCTGACCAGTGCTGACATCACTACTGCTTTCTCAGGAGAAAAAATTGCTCTGCTTTTATAAATGCAAAAAATGCAGCCCACGGGCACAAGCGCAGGCGCACAGACACACACAGACAGCCAAATTGATTCATATGGTGTGACAGATACGGATCCACGCAAGTATAATGCAGAATTTCTGCTGAAAACTTTGCCCATCTGTGTAGATATCCAAGTGATACAGAACATGAATTGAAAAACAGTGAAAATATGTTTGTGTTTGGGCACACACATACACACACAAAACAAGGACAAAATTAGGTACCTGTATGAAGAAGCGGCACGACCGTTCTCTCTTCTGGAGCTGAAAGACAATATTAAAACACTTCAGTAACTCACATACACAAACACAACTGCACACACTAAATCACAGTGCGCATTTAATCATTCAGAGCCCAATAAGAAGCAAGGCCTAATTAGCCGAAATAATCTACAATAATTTGGTAATAAATAATTAGAATCATAATTATATTGTGGATCAGAGCAGAATTAGAAACAAAATGAATGTTTAACTGAGTTACAGTCGCGTGAAACTGACACTGTACCCACAAAACATTCCTGTACACGTCTGCCAGGACAGTAATACTGCAAACATACAAACAAACAACCAACACTGAGCTGTATTGAGTCTGAATGGCCAGAGGTGTCTGACTGTGTCTTATTGCAGATGAGCTGATGCTTGTGTAATTGATAACTTTAGCTGGATCCAGGTAATAGGAAACTGACAGGCTGACTGTTTAAAGTTTGTAAAGTGATATTCAGGCTCTACAGTGTTGTGTGGGTCGCTGTGTGTGTGTCTGTGTGTTCAGCTGGTCTCGAGATGACGAATGAGATTCACTGCTTTTTTTAGACACAATAAAGATGATGTACCGTACAATTATTTGACATTAAAATAAACTCTCCTATTGCAGTTTAATACATGGAGATAGCAGGGCCATGTATATTGTGGACAAATATGACCTGATCAAAATCATTTATTGTAGATCTAAATTGTCTTTAACCCTTTAACTGCCTAATATACCAAATGGTTGAGCAAATTTTGACAGTTTTAAATAATGACTATTAAAATGATTTAAAGAATGTTTTAAATAATAGTTTATACACTCAGCATTGTTGGTTTATGAAAAAAAAAATCAAACAAACATAATCCTGAAATATCTTATGGCATACTTTAAAAAAATAAAGATGATTTAGTGTTCAAAACGGTTTTATTTTGAATATGTGTAAAAAAAAAATTTGGTCTCACACTTCATGTTTTCTATTTTTTCATTCATTCATTTTCTTTTCGGCTTAATCCCTTTATTAATCTGGGGTCACCACAGCGAAACGAACCGCCAATTTATCCAGCATATGTTATATGCAGCGGATACCCTCTTAGCTGCAACCCATCACTGGGAAATATCAATACAAACTCATTCACTATGGACAGTTTAGCTTAGCCAATTCACCTATAGCGCAAGTTTTTGGACTTGTGGGGGAAACTGGAGCACCCGGAGAAAACCCACGCAAACACGAGGAGAACTTGCAAACTCCACACTGAAACACCAACTGAGCCAGTCAAGAATTGAACCAGCGACGTTCTAGCTATAAGGCAATTGTGCTACCCACAGCACCACAGTGCTGCCTGATTTTTTATAGTATATGTATTAATTCCAGTATTTTTACCATAAACCGAGATATCAACCATTTGGTAAAGGTTGATATTTTAGAAATTATGGGATGTGTGGAAACAAAACTAGCGACATAAGGAGTGTGGGGCATTTAAGGGTACAGACTAACCAAAGGATCATTCAGTTTAAGGTCGTGCACAGAATACACTGGTCTAGAACTAAACTAAATAAAACTTGACCCACCTTACCTTCACTGTACAAGCGAACCAGCCACACTGTTACATACTTTCTGGTTGTGTTTGAAACTGTCTGATTATTTGGGGAAAGTCTTCAGGTGTTTTTCTGCTGTTTATTTCACTGTCAATAGACCCAAACCCCTTAACAGCACTGTTTGGAATCCTGCCAGAATATGCTGAATTAAATTCATTACAGGCCGATAGTGTAGCTTTTGCAACCTTACTGGCTAGACGACTTATTCTTATGAAGTGGATGTCAGCAGCTCCCCCTTCTTATTGGCAATGAGTTTTTGATTTCCAACATGCTCTTCAAAAGGAAAAGATTTGGTTTGCAATAAAACAAAAGCCAGAACAGTTCCAGAAAGTCTGGAGCCTTTTTGTAATTTTTTTAAGGAGACACCTTTATCTTAATTGCCTTTTTTCCTTTCTGTTCTTTGTATTATATATTTATTCGTTTATTTATTCATTTTTATTTGTTTATTTATTGATTTTTTGTTATCTTATATTTGTATATCTTTGTTTATAAATGTGGTATATTGTTTTTTTATTTTTACTGTATACTTTACTTTATATTTAGTGTTTAATTGTGTTTTCCTGATAATTTCTTGCTTGGTGAATTTTATCAGTGCGTATATCTATATGTATCAATATTATGTACATTTTAATGTCTGACCTGAAGTAAAAAAAAATAATAATAATAATAACTACACAAAAGAAATGTACAATTTTGATTTGTTAATGTCTTATATTTCAATGACCTCATGCTTTTTAACCAATGTAAAGTGATCTGATGCTCACAGCAAATGCAATGTAATTTACATTTAATGTTTTTAAAGATTTTAATATGCTTTTATCTGTTTAATTGAGCTTTAATCTAGTAACAGATATTATTGGACAGAAACCTTTTCCAAACCTGCTACTTTTCAGGAAATTAAAAAGGCTCTGTACTTTTGACTAATTTAGATTAGCATCGTAAAAGTTGTCAGTGTGGCTTTACATCTGGCGAACATGTGTCATTTTATTTTCAACACTTCACCACAATTAAGTTCAAATGGCATTTTAAGTTTTTTGTTCAACATTTGTCAAAAATCTGTAAAATATTTTAAAGATGACTACTTGGACTAGACGCAACTTGATAATCTCACTCACTCACTTTCTTTTGGCTAATTCCCTGCTTTATCTACAGCGGAATAAACCACCAATTACTATCGCAAATGTTTTACCAGCCTTCTCATTATCCTTTTTCTCATTGCTTTATTAATATGATTATTTAATCTTGACATGATTTTGACTAATGAATAAAGTTAACACATTAACGCTTAATATAAGAATGTTCTTCAGGCGGTCATGGAGATCTCGAGTGGAACTAAAGGGCTTGATGATTGAAAACAACTGTCAAAACATAGTAATGATTGAATTACTATGTGTTAAACTGTCTAAAAATAAGTGGTTTTGATATTATTATGTGTTAATTCGGTTTAAACTGATTTTCCTTTTTATTCAAGATAGACTTTGTGTAGTAAGAATTGCCTGAAAGTAGATTATACTGTTTTTTAACCAGTTTTGATAAAGACGGATCAACCTTAGCTAAGAAACAGATTGTAAGTTGAGTGTGTGTGTTCTATTCGATTGTGGATCATTTCACAGGTCTGGGATAAGCTCCAAACAGCCTAGTGGATGTCTGACGTTTGTACGCCTGAGATATTAAGATATCGTTCAGAGTTATGTGCATGCTGACACATGGAAGTTTACCTAGTCTATCTGTGTTTTAACCAATCAGGTTAAAACACCTGCATGTATGACACTGGTAATGATGTTATGAAAGACAATAATTGTTGTTGATTTGTGATTGTAAGCAGAGCGGCCTGAGAACTCATTATAAGTGTTGAAGCTGGCTTCTGCTGATGAAACTGCAAACTATCTTCAGTGAACTTTATTTATTTAAATCTCTGACTCCGGCTCTTCTTCATCTGACAGACTGCACATTCTTTGGGTTTTAACTGTAAATTATGCCTACAATAATATAATTTATAACAAGGACACTGATCTGAACTAAACTGAACTTCAACTCTGAAAACTGGACTGACAGTTTCAGTTTACTAGAACTTCTATGTTAAGCTGCTTTGACACAATCTAAAATGGAAATAAATATGAATCAAACTGAATTGAATCATTTTTAATATTCACAAAATTTAGATGATAAATGTTTCGATGAAGGTTTATGTTTTTTTACTTAAAAAAATGGGACATTCACTGTGTGTGTTTTGCATCCAACAGACATCTTACAAGAAGTTCATTATGCCTCTGGTGTTTATGTGTAGCATTGTGCAGCCTGTATTTGCGTTTCACCACTTTGAAGTATTTTTTTGATTATTCTTTTATGTTGCGGCTTCTTTTGTTAATTGGAAAAACTCACCGGGGCTTTATGAGCTGTTTTAATTTGTGTGTCCTTATTTATAAGTGTGTGTGTGTGTGTGTGTGTGTGTGTGTGTGTGTGTGTGTGTGTGTGTGTGTGTGTGAGTGTAAGGATTTCTGTCTATCGAGCAGTAGCTGTTTTTAACAGGAAGTTTTCCCATTTGGGCCTTAAAGCCTTTGATCTGTGGACTGCCACAGGTTTACTGCCTAAAACACTGTACTCTGCACAGAATCGGAGCACTGTTTCTCTCTCCCGCTCCTTTTTGCACAAAAATACACATGAATATATTGAGCTATCTCATGCAAAAGGATGCCAACGTAATTAACATGTAACAAACATGTAGTAGCTGTGTGTTTACTACCTAAGCAGTGTGCGTGTGGTTTGCTAACAGCTCGTGTACCTTGTTTAAACTGCGTGCGGCGGTGTCTTTTCCCCCAGGGGTGAGGTTTCGCAGCTGCACGTCCAGTAGTTCCACCAGCTGTGCCATGGCTTTGACTGTTGATGGGACATCTCCGGGTCTCAACTCTCCCTTTGTCTGTTCAGCCAATTCCCGGGCTACTATAGCAGCAGTTTCGCCCGATCTCATCTACAGAAAGAGAAAGAGAGAGCGAGAGAGATATGTACGTGTGTGTATATTGATTTTATTCGCTCTGTCCCTTGATGGTCGAATAAGTGGATGAACAAATGGCTTCATAGATTTGTGATTCTGCCTATTTTCCGATTTGCTCTCTGTGGTACAAAGGAAACCATTTTACATTACTGTTAAGCTTCAGTCATCATTGCACTTTACACACACATGCACTCTCGCAGCACACACACACATACACACGTGCCACTTTATTTTAAGCTGCTGTCGCACGACGCTTTTGGCTGCACTGTCGTCCCTACGTAATTTTGCCACAAAGTGATACAAATTGCGGCTGATCTTGACAGTTGAATTTTGGCTCATTTTGTTGTACACTAAATTTCCTCTAAGCTGTTTCGCTACAGGCTGCTCTTTGTGATAAGCTTTTGTGCTTTGTTAAAAAAGCTGGAGGCCAAATTATGCTTTAAGAATATTTGCTATAGGCATATCGCTCTCCACTGAATGTTTTTAAATTGGCTGATACTCCATTAGCATATTTCCCATGGTGTCATGTTTTTACTCACTCTTTGAGTGATATGATTGGTCCACGGTGAGGTGCAGTTGCTCAGATCTGGTCCCTTCGGGTCCCAGTAGCCAAGCAAACAATTAAACGTGGCTACACCTGAAAAAATAATAATAAAAAAAGACATGAGCTCTCTCTCTCTCACATATACACACACATATACACATACACATTTAGACATATGGCCTGGCAATTGCTGTCAAACCAATCAAAAACACAAGCAGAGCAGGAGATTTACAAGCGTCACAAAATGTGTCAATCAACAGCTGGCAGCTGCCCACATAATGAGGTGGCAATGACAGAACACCTGAACAAGCACACCACACTAACAGGAAAAAAAAAAATCTGATTAATTCAACGTAACACACAGGTAAAAATAGCTTTTACAAGTTCATGTACATCTACAGTAGCTTTAACAGGTTTAGTACAACTTTTAGTGCACACATTTTGTTTTTATTACCAATTATGTAGTGTGTAATGTAGTTGTTTCTAAATGTAAAAGTTCAGAATCAGAATCAGAAAGAGCTTGTATGTTCACACATACAAGGAATTTGTTTTTTATGACAGAGCTTCTACAGAGCAAAAGAATTACAGAGACAGGACAAAAACGGGTAATACATATATTTTAAAATTAGAAGTAAGTAGTGAATGTGAATAAACAAAGCGTTCTGCAATATTTCTGTGCACAAAGTTCATAATAAATAAGGACATTGTGTGCCAAAAGAAAACAAAACATTTCTGAATGATTCTTCTAAATCCAGTCTTTTTTTCTTGCACAAACCTATGTAGTTTTTGTAATAGGTTTACACAATGGGCATCTATGGTCTTTACTTTCTGCCCATCAACAAGGTCTTCTTTGACCCTCAAACATTTTAGTTATAGCTGATCCCTAAAGGTTTGGGTTTGTGTTGTCAAAAAGTCTGCAAGTTGTCTTTACTGTAAAACACACTTCTAAAGCTCAGACTCAAATTTTAGCAAAACCGTTACTGTTGTATCGTTTGCATCAATGTCATTCTCATGCGACAAAGAAAGCCACACGATTTACATATCGGGCCTTGTGTGTGCTCAAGTTTGTCATTTCAAATGTAGACCTCACAGCAAGCACATGCAAATACAGAGATACTTATGATACTTATCATACTCAAACAAGTGATATGATACAAGCCCGTAGCCAGCCTGGTAAAAAGGCTGGTTCACTTTTCTCATTTTCTATTTAATTATGAGGTTTAAATACTGCATTTTAGTAATACTTTAAGCACATTTTTTTAGCTTGTCGAATGGTGATCATAACCACGTTTTGATGTACCAAAAACATTTCCTAAAGAGTTAGAATAAGGAAATATGAATAAATACTTGTTTTTTAAATAATGATTTTATAAATCATAAAAAAAGAAATCTGTTAAAGTTTTAAATTGAAAAACTGTGGCCTATTGTCATTTATTAGGCAAATAACAAACTGGCGAGCACATGTCACAGTCACAATTTGGGATGCCGAATTTGGCCCTTTAGAACGAGAAGTCACACCGAAGCAACAGCCAATACAGGAATCTACTTGGTCTTAAAGCCTTCTATGATGGTTATTTTCATAGGTATTTTTTACAATTTATGATGGCATAGCAGCAAAGAGTATAGATTCACCAAGAGGCAAAACTCTAGTGCGATTTGGGAAACAGCCACTAGATGGCGCGGCAAACATTTTGGAATGAAAATTCCAATTGAACAACAGCATGTTATAAGTCTGTAAAAAAGTAAAATAAACTATTAAAAGTGCTGATGATTGTGTTAGCATGTGTTGTATCGTCGTCTTTCAGGCTGTATCTCAGCTTTAATTCGCTTTTTAAATGAATAAATTAAAAACAAAATGGCGAAATCCGGGGCTGTTGCTGGACGCTGCTGATGCAATGGAACATTCTATTGAGTATCGCCTCTTGGTCATTCTAAGCTCTTTGATAGCAGTTAAAATAGGACAAATGAGCTCATGTATAGAACAAATTCTGGACCTTTGTCAGTGAGGGCTGGGTCTTTCAAACCATCCGAATCCTCCCTGGCTACGAGCCTGTACTGCTCAGTGTAAATTAGCTATAAAATGTAACTACTCTCTCAAATAGTACTTGTAGACAGAATTCCAAACCTTAAGTATATACAATATACAGTGCTCAGCATAATTGAGGGTCACACTTTATTTTAATGGTCTGTTTGTTGAATTTTAGTTACATTGCATCTATAAGCCAACTAATTCTCATTTGATTATAAGTAGACTATTAGGTTGGGGTTAGTGTAAGTTGACATGTTGACAGTTTCTTATTGTCAGTTAAATGTCTGTTTTGCATTAGTATCATCAGATATTAAGCAGATAATCTACTAATACTCAAATGGACCATCAAAATAAAGTGCTACCTAACTGAGTACGCCACATTTTAAAAATGAATGTTTTTATTAATTTCTCAGTGAATATAGGCGATGTATTTTGGAGCATTTAAACAAAACAGATTTTTTAAACAGATATATTTATTAAAATAATATTTTAGTCACCAAACATTTAGAAATTGAAAGGTAATGCGATTAAATTCAAGCAAAATATTGCAAAAATAAATTACAACCTACAAAATTTCAATAAATAAAAAAAAAATATTAGCTTCTCTTGTTTTTTCTATAACATATAATTTGGGTGTACTAGTTTTTGGACTGTTATGGTAAGTTATTTTCTTAGATAAGCTCCAGATTTGAGGCGACACAGTAGTGCAGTAGGTAGTGCTGTCGCCTCAGCAAGAAGGTTGCTGGGTCGAGCCTCGGCTGGGTCAGTAGGCGTTTCTGTGTGGTGTTTGCATGTTCTCCCTGCGCTCGCATAGGTTTCCTCCGGGTGCTCCGGTTTCCCCCACAGTCCCCCAAAGATATGTGGTACAGCTGAATTGGGTAGGCTAAATTGTCCTTAGTGTATGAGAGTATGTGTGGATGTTTCCCAGTGATGGGTTGCAGCTGGAAGGGCATCACCTGCGTAAAAACCTGCTGGATTAGTTGGCGGTTCATTCTGCTGTGGCGAACCCAGATTAATAAAGGGACTAAGCCGAAAATGAATGAATGAATGAATGAAAGCTCCAGATTTGGCTTCACTAAAGACTAACATTTTAAAATAACTTAAAAAGATAGATTTATGAAGGGTAAACTTATATGTGCTGAGCTCTGTATATGATAAATTTATGTGGGAAAGTGACACAATATGAAGTGATTATATAATCCTCCAGTGCACCTCTTACATTGTATTAATGTACTACTATTTTGTTTTTTCTATGCTACCTTTGACTACAGTATGAACAAAACAACATTTCTTCCATTCTTTCCTCCCAAATTCCTTTCCTTCTAATGATAAGTAGTCTATTTTTCACAGGAATTTTGATATATACCACATTTTGACAATTATAATCATGTGCAAACACATCTAGGGGCTACTTGTTTTACTGCAGGTTTAAAAATAAATGACTATGTAACTATCAGTACAGTGGTAATTCCTATTGTTGTGCCTAATTATAAAGAATTACTAATGATGAGTTTAGTCCTGAACACTGGGATGATAAATTAATTACAGGCTTGAATTACGAATTAATTCTTTCATTCATGTTATCAGGAGCCTTGTTGCAGTGTTGAAGTGTATCAGATCTCTGCCAGAGAGCAATGCACATACACACACGGACACACACTGAGCTGATGCATTGATGTATTCAATACACATTAAACAAAATAAACCTCCACACACACACACTGCCCCTAATAATAGATTAATCACTCTCTTACTAACCTATGGTGCCAGGTGGGCACGGTTGCTTAGCAACTTGTCCCTGGTGTGTCCGTGGCCAGGAGATTTCAGCAGTGAGACGTGGGGCACAATAGTCAACAGTGACGGGAGTCTGCGGGGAGGGAGGCGCTCGAGTCAGGGCTTCTGGGAGGACGTTGTTATGGCGGCGAGGAGGAACCATGGTGGTCGTCGTGGTAGTGGTGAGAGAGGGGCGGAGCGTGCCTGTATATGGGCGTGGAGGAGTCGTGGAGCTGCGTACTGGAGGAAGAGGATCAGGTAGCAAGACTGAAGAAGGCGGATCTGGAAGAAAAATAGAAATGATTTTTAACGCTTACAGTTCAAATGAATGTGAACTATAAAGTTGTTGCATACTACAGAAACACTCAGATATTTACTATTAAAAAAAAGATTATTATAAGGATGTTAAACAAACTTATACACTATAAAAAATTCAACTTTAAAAATGAAATTACTTGGGTTTTTTTTGGTTGGGTTGGCAAAAATTAGTAAAAATGTGTGTAGCTACATTTAACACGTTTACTGAACCTAAATGAAAAATTCCTTCATTAACTTAAAAATATTAGTTTTGTGAGCAAAACTTTGCAAGTGCACCCAAAAAAGCTTCAACCAACTTGTTACTTTAAGTTGAGTCAGTCTCAGACCTCCTCACTAGAAAAAAAAAATCTTTCTGCGTTGGAGCTTCAAAGTTTTTGCATTCCACATAGCAAACGGTATGTGTGTAAAATTTGTTTTTGTTTTTTTTTAAATAAAAAGTGTTAAAATGTAAACAACTTATTAAAAAAAGCATTCCATAATGTAAATAAGTTGTCATTTAATAAGAATATGCCAATGTCAGATCGAACCTTTTAGTTGTAAGGTTTCTAACACTAACAATGACAAAAATAATAGTAAAACCAATAATGACATTAATGTCCTTATTATTAACAACGGCAACAAAATACTACTGCAATAATTCTATTAATCGCGATTGATAAAAAAAAAAGTGTGATGAATTAGTTAAATTTTTTTTATTGATCTGTATTGGTATAGATGATGATGCCACTGACCATTATTTATCACTTCAAGTTGCAAAATTTATTTGAATTTCACATTTATATTTTTAAATTTCATAAGTTAGATTAACTGAATCCATCTTTAGTGTCAGTTTAGCTGTCAAGTAATTATTAAAAATACTATATTAATTTACATTTGCCATATCTTAAAATAAAAAAAGAAATAAAAATGGTCATATTTGTATTAAGCTATTACAGCATTTGTCTATTGATTTAGAACATAGAATATTTATTATTAGATATTTTGGAATAATTTGTTCTACTATGATCAGTAATAATAGTGTAATTTGTCATTTACATTATGTATACAATAAAAATATAATTTAGCAATCAATCATTTCTCCCTTAAAACAGCATTTATGTACAGTATTTCCGCATTTACATCATTTGTAAATACAAATTTAGTCTACACACCCACAGTTCAAGAGCAGACATTGGTTCAAAAGGCAGTGGTAAAGCAGAGACATGAATATCCATCTCTCTCTCTAGGCATCTCCGCTGTTTCAGGGATGACTGAATGAGTCAGGTTTCTGGAGAGTGTTTGTGTGTGTCTTTGTGCCCTGTGCAGCAGTTGGGAGTGTATGTTTTGACAGGCCCGATCCCTGAGTGCAAGGACTTCTGAGAGGCAAAGATAGATGATGTTTAAACGTCACAACTCCCCATTGGCACACTCTGTTCCTGTCTGTCTCTCTCTCAAACACACAAGCACACACCTGAGGGCCCGAATCTGGCATATAGCAGTCAAATGCATACATGCAAGCTTTGTTTGCTGATATAAAGTGTGAAAGAATCTGTATCGGAAGCTCAGGATGTCACATGACAGGGAGTAAACATCCCTTAAAGCCTGGTCTAGACTAAACGATGCTATAAGAAATCTGTCCATAATAAATGTGCGGGTGGAAAGACGTGAACTGGCACACGCAGCGCAAATGAAAAAGATAGCTTTACTTTTATGTTCTGTCTCTTTTTGTCTCGTTCTCTATCCCTCTGTCTTGCCTTGTTTACTGGAGAAGCTCTTGTTGCCTCAGAAACTGCTGGAAAAAAGGACTAAAGTGTGAAGAGGAGAGATGAAGAACACTAGAGGACAGAGATGCTACCAGAAAAAAAAAAAAAAAAAAAAAAAAAACATTTCTTCTTTTTTTCCCATCTGTGAATTGGCAGTGGCGACTTTAATAAAAAGTGGATATGAAAAGAATGCAGGAACAAGATCCCACAAGATCTACTCTAGGACCCAACCGAAATATAATTTTGAATATGTTTATTTTTATCTGTTTTCCAATTATATAATTATATAAATTACAATATTTATGTTTAAAACAAAAAAACTCAGTAGTCACTTAAACACAAATTACAAAAATTGATAAAAAATAAAACCAAAAAAGGCTGCATCACACTTTAACTTTGAAGCTTGAAAACCACTTTTTGACGTTGACCACTACAGTTGAAGTCAGAAATATTAGCCCCCCACAGGCACTTCTATACAGCTTAAAGTGACATTTAAAGGCTTAACTAGGTTAATTAGGTAAACTACGCAGGTTAGGATAATTACGTAGTTTATTGTATAGCAATGGTTTGTTCTGTAGACTATCGAAAAAATATAACTTACGGGGACTAATAATTTTGGCCTTAAATTGGTTTTTGAAAAATTAAGAACTGCTTTTATTCTAGCCAAAATCTAACAAATAAGACTTTCACCAGAAGAAAAATTATTGCTTAATTTGCCAAAAAAATAAAGGCTGTAAAATTACAGAAATTTATTGATAAAATAACAAACGTTAAATGACAGAAATTTACAGGAAATTTGTGAAATTTGTGGAAATTCCTGTCCTTTAATGTCCATTATTTTACAGTAAACTTCTGTAATTTAATGGCTGTTATTTGACGGGGGGGTTTCTGCACCCCAGCTGCCAGGAAAAAAAAAAACGTAAAATAAGGTTGTTGTTTTTTTTGGTTTTTTTTATCAGGTTGAAATTAAATATCTTTTAAAATAAAAATATCAAAAGTCTTTGCTGTCATTTTTGACATCAAAGCATTGATTTTTTTTTATTTTATTTTAGGTGTGAAAAAAATAAATTTTTACGATCGTATGTTTAACAGTGAATAAACACATTGACATGAAATAATATAAAAGTTTATATGAGTGAACACGCACCCTGAGCTGCTGGAAATATAACCACTAACTTCAGGAAGGGGAAAGAGTTCAGAGAACTCAGTCACAGTAACTGATTCCGGATATGTCTTACTGACCCTGGTCTAATGCCTTCAGTAGGTGATGTACTTGCCGGTGCATAAATTATACCCAAAAAATGCGCACTTACAAAAGTGTGCAAATCATAAGGCAGCGTGAGCCCTCGTTAGCAGTTCCGAATGAAAGATAGTTCCTCTTTCTTAGACTATATCCCACCAGACAGCTCTGGCTTATTATAGAGATGCACTGATCCAAATATCCCCTCACATCTCCTCTCATCACTGTTCCTGCCCTCTTTTCTCTCTCTCCATCTCTCCCCCACCTCCCTCTGTGCGGCAAATCTGACTGTGATTTTAAAGGGCCGCTGAGTGAAATGAAAGCACTTCCTGTTTCTATTTCTGTATCTGTCTGTGTGAGGAGCTACTGAGGCAAGACTCTGAAAGCAGCAGAGCGTTCTAGAGTGACTAATCGCTCGCGCACACACACACATACACACAGCCTCCCTTTCGCACAGAAGCCATTAAATGACAAACCAGCCCTTTCATCCACCTTCCAAATCTCTCCATCGCTCCTTTCTGGCCGATGTCCGCCTGTCTGCCGTGCCCTCCGTGTCTCCAGATTGTCATCTCTGTGATTCAGCCCACTCAGACACAATAGGGGAACAGATAGAGGGCAACGCATGTGTTTTTCCAACGGAAAGGGCGCTTTGATTGGCGGCTGATCAAAGGAAGTCTTTTATTCGCAGCGTCGATGGAAAGATGCCTGACTCACTCCTAGAGGTTAAAGGTCATTTATCCTCTATTACTCGAAACACTCTTAAAGGTAGTGCAACTTCGGAGTGGGCTTCTAACGTGGTCTGTTAAGCCCATCTCTTCCTGTACACTGACATGAAAGAGAAGGCAATTTATAATCGGACATCTATTTCTGACGACTGGCCTTCTGGAAAACCACTGTATGAAATCGGGTCATTTGATGTTTGGTCATACTTCCAGGTGTGACCGGAACAGCAAATCTTCCAGGGGCTGCTTAATGCATGAAGTCCTGTTAAATATGCCTCAGCCCACACTGAGACGAGAAACAATGTCACCTTGCTGATCAGGACCAATCAGAAGACAGCGTCATGGCAACCTTGCTGGAAACTGCCGATGGATTTAATGAACATGCAGCTTTTATAGACACATAAACGAAAGATCAAATGCATGTATAGCACTGCCACTTAAGTCACTTTAAAAAATGTATGAATGTCCTAGCCTTAGCAACCAAAAAAAATCTAACCAAGTAATGTAGGGCTCAAAGAAAAAAATGGGGTCAAGCTTCTTCTTTAATACATTTAAATGTCTCCTGTTTAATGTTACTTTTTTATACAAAAAAAAATCCTAAATTTAAAGATCACAGTTTAATCCTAAATAAAGTTATCCTCACAGGAGTAAAAAAAAAAAAATTTAAGAATATTTTTTTTAAGTTGCATGCATTCTGAAACATTATATAATTAGAGAACATTTTAAGACACCTCAAAGTTATTGGAGTTAATTTAGCACTTGTTTGTAAAGTACAAGTTCGTAAACTTGTTCTTAATTAAAGGTGCAGTAGGTGATTGTTTTCAGAAACATTTTAGTAATGATGTATTTATCTGTATTTTTATTTTTATATTCTGGGTAAGATAAGTAAATGATGGTAAAATTGTCGGGCCAATAATTCTCATAATTCTGATAAATAGCCCAAATGCTCTGTCAGCAAATGTAGATTTGTACAACTTCGCACTTGCCATTAGCGCATGTACTGTTTGTGCGCTGCACGTTCATGTGCAGACAGCGCTAAAAGCAAATACTAAATCAAAACTTTTTAGAATCAATGAATCAATGTTGCAGATACTTTACCATGGCTGAAGTATTTCTGTTAGACAGGTAATGTTATGTTTGAAAACTATTTTAGTCATGCAAAGCTGATGTAGACTGCATTGTTTTTCAAATGGGTTATATGCACAGAAGTGTTGTTCAGCCACTGAATTCTTTCGGCAATAGACTGATGTGACTATTTTC